CCCACACACCCCTCCCTCCCCCAGCAGCACCTCCCCATGCAGGGAGGGAACATCATCAAACTTTATATGTCTATATAAAACACATGTGCAAATAAAACAAGCCACAATAAAAGACTCTGCACACACACACACACAAAAAAATCCCTTCTGGGGAAAAGACAGAAGAGTGGGAACCACAGATGACAGAATTTATTCCCATCACTTCAGTCACAACTGCTGAGGCTCAGCTCTGAGGGGTGTGTGGAACAAACACTGAGGCTCAGAAGAGAACTCCTGCTGTCTGAGTGGATCTCAGGTTGGACTGCATTCCCTTTTTGGAGTGGCTGCACTTCACTGCTTGCCTATAAACACAAAAGCAGCAAAGAATACTCCATAGACACCCAACAGGTCTGTCACCAAGCCTGATTCTGTCAGAGAGCAGTTTATTGAGCTACAAACCCCAAAATATCCAGATGCATATTTAGATTTTTTTTTTTTTTTCAAAGGCTTGTATATTAATCCACACCAGTTGGAATAATAAATCTGGACTTGATTTCAGTCAGTGTTTTGGGTGACAGACTCCTGGCACGTAACCCCAGGCAGAGTCAGGTTAGGAAGACTTTCCAGGGTACTGCTTTGGGTGTAGCTCTTGCTGTTACAGTCTGAGGGTGAAGAGTCATCCTCCCCTCCTCACCTGCTGTGGTTTTTGTGCCTGGTGAGCTCCACAGACATGCAACACACCCCATCACAGGGCTGCTCTGAAACACCTTATCTCACAAGTCATCTTTGGAGCCCAGGAATCAGCAGCTCCTTTTGTTTCCACACACAACACTGCCTCACACTTGTAAATGGAGGAGGAAACCTGGCAGGCTGGAGCTGCAGGATTGTTCTCCTTGCTCTTCACTGCCACTGATTTACAGAGTGATTTGTCCAAGGTCACCAGCTTCTTCTGTGCTTTGTTTTATCTGCTGTACAACAGTGATAACAGGAGAAGTCACACTGGTAGTAATCATGGCATGGTTTGGGGTGGGAGGGAAGATCATCTAGTCCAATCCCCCTGCAGAGACCAGGGACATCTGCAACTAGAGCAGGTTGCTCAGAGCCCCATCCAACCTGGTCTTGAACACATCCAGTGATGGAGCAGCCACAGCTTCCCTGGGCAACCTGTGCCAGGGTCTCACCACCCTCAGAGTGAAGAACTTACAAATTTCTAACGTAAATCTCCCCTCTTCCAGCTTGTAGTCATTAATCCTCATCCTACCATTACAAGCCCTTGTAAAAGTCTTTTCAAAGTCTTGCCTTTTTGGCACTGAACTCAAAAACGTTCTGTTGCCCTTAAAAATCATAATGTGGGCTCCATATTGTCCTCCTGACATACCCATCTGCCTCCACTGATGGGTTTTGGAGCTGAATAAATTAACACTAAAAGAGATATGAACCTTTAAAAACCACAGTCACCCTTCTACAACCTCAGACAGCACTGTTAAAAAAATAAATCAGATACCTGCATAAAACTGTAGCACAGATTCTGAGGAAAATCTCTATAAATAAAGAAATCCAGCACATTGGAAACACGACTCTTGTTGGGGTTAGATTTCTTTGTCACATTTGCAGATGCTTCTGATAATAGAAAAGGAATTGCACCGACACCTTCACATTTCTTATTAAACACCAAACAAATGTTGTGAAGACCAAGCTGTGGAAGCTTTGTGCTAGCCACAATTGGACCAGTGAAGCTGCTGACAGAACCAGAAGAACACCAATAGACCCAACACTTTCCTTGGACTAAAACCAGCACAACTTTGCTGGAGAGAGAACAGATTCAGGCAGCACCACGCCAGGTTGTGGTTCACTGGCCCAGCCCAGCACCTTGCTGCTCTCACCCAGCTCTGTCCTAATCCATTCCAAATTTCATGCCCAGCTGAAGCTGCTCCACAGACTGAACGATTTCTGCTCTATTATTTCATAGCCACTGTGGCAGTCTGAGGGAAGTCTCCTTTTTTTGGCTGCTGGCACAAGCCCTGTCAATCAGTGTCTATCATCAGCTGGAGCTGACGTGTCAGAGTGTAGATAAATGAAATAAAGAAATATCCTGGCATTATTTTAAATTCTTTCCTCTCACTTTATAAACCCCTGAACTGTCAAGAGAGGCTGTATTTAACCCCATTTTCCTCTGTCATGTTG